AAATGTATTTCGAATTTTAATCATTTGAGAATGAATTGTGTGTTTTGTAGACCTTCCAATTTGAAAGTTTTAATTATTTGTACCTTCAAATAGGATTATTTTAGCTCAAATGCATTAAATTTTCTGAAAATTATGGAATTCCAATGCTCATTGCATTTGTTAATTGAGAGCAGATGTTAGTTTTATGAGCTTCTACTATTTAATTAGGCATTATAACTCTTAAGTTTGATAAATGCTCGTGTATTTAGTGTAGAAGAGCTTATGGGTTATGGGTTGTGATTATACATTTGGGTTTGTGTTAACAGATGGATAAGGCATATCCACGTGACTTTATGCAAAGAGGGAGAGTGAGAGTTTTGCTAAAAAAGGAAGATGGAACTTTGTATAATCCAGCCATTTCTGCCAGTAAGTATATGGAAACTTTCCCCTGCTCAGTTGTAATGGTGTATGCTTAAATGGCTTGCTCAAACATGTTTTTTATTTTTATTTTTATTTTTTAATACCTGTCACATAAGCAATCATGGTACACAATCGTGTTTGTGTGTGTAAAATGAATGGAATGTATTGCATATTTGCATATTCATCTTTCTAGACTTATTTCATATAACCTCCATTCTCAATTTATACACACCAAGTTTGATTTGCAAATATTAAATATCTATTAACAACCACTCATTTTTAGATAAATAAATGTAGAAGTAAAATAAAGTGAGGATGGAGCCAGGGAAATCATAAAATGGATAGTAATAGACTAATGACTCATAGATGTTTACAAGGTTCAGTTAACTACTTAGATATTTTTGTAGTTTGTAAATGCAAAAAAAATGTTCTGGTTTCTTGTTAGGAAGTGCTAGAATGATACTCTAAACATTGTAGTTGTGGGTTATATTCCTATGGAAAACATTATTATATTGGCTATAGGCATAGTTGTGATTCTTTAAGAACTCAGTTGTGATTCTTTTTTGTGATTGTGATAACTCAGTTGTGAGTTCCCAAAATTTAGATAACTCAGAGTCCAGGTGATTGTGATTCTTTTTTTGTGACAGCCAATGATGACACTTGCTATATATATACCAATTTGGTGGGACCTAAAAACTTGGAAAATATGCTCCCATGGTAGGTCATTTGCTTGGTCCTCAAGCACAAACATTTCTCTGTTCTTAATTTTCTTTATTATCTTTTGCATAATGTTCACAGTTCACATGTGACTTTAGCCTCCTCAATTGACTTGTTTGACAATTCTCTTCAACTTAAAATGATGCACCAATATTCAATCTTGGGCTCAATTGACTTGTTTGACAAGTCTCTTCAACTTAAAATGACAAGTCTCTTCAACCAATAATGCATGGTGGGGGTTCCCATACAAAACATCCATGAATTGAATAATACAAGTTGTTGGGTAGATAAAGCTGAAAATATTACAGTATATATAAAATGAGGAAACTAAATGGGGTTAGTTGTGGTGTATGTATTCTTCAACCCAATTCAACTAATAACTGTCATTTGTAGGTGGACACAGGCTACTTAGTAACAGGATTGTAAGGTGCCTAAGCAACGTTGAAGCATTTATATTGCGAGAAACAGATCTTGAAGAAGTCATTTCTCTGTTTGCAAGATTCTTGAGGAACACCCTTGTTCAGGGTGCCATAAGGTATGTATTCTTTAAATGCTATCTACCTCTCATCTCATCGTAACATCTATCTATTCTTTAAGCTTAAATTAAATCCTCTCTATTTGATCTAATAATGTTAATTTAAGGTGTCAAATCTTAATATTAGTGACACAAATATAAAAAATAGTATTATTTCTAAGTATATGAAATAAATGGTATTTCATAGTACTATAATTGACAGATATGGATCGGAGTTGGATGTATGAAAAACGCACTACATTCAAATATATACAAGGGGTTCAAGAGTTTATAGAATGTGCTGAAAAAAATAAAAGTAAAAAGGCCGAAGATTTTATATCGTGCCCGTGTTGTGATTGTAAAAATTTGAAAAGATGTCGTAGTTCTGAAGAAGTGAAAATCCATTTAATACGCCATGGCTTTAAGGAAGGGTATGATCGATGGATATGGCATGGTGAAAGCTTACCTCCTAGTACAAGTGTTAGTAAGAATGAAGCTCATGCAGACAGTCAAACTCATGCAAAGAGTGAAACTGAAGCAAATAGTCGAACTCAGGCAGATAACGAGGAGAATGATGGAATTAAAGACCGAATAGATGAAATGATGCGTGATATGCAGGGAGATTGTAGTGAAATGCCTCCTGAATTTAAATGTTTGTTTGAGAATGCTGAAAAACCTTTGTTTTCTGGGTGTGCCAAATATACTAAGTTATCTGGTGTGCTTAAATTATATAATTTAAAAGCAAAGAATGGATGGAGTGATAAGAGTTTCACGGGATTATTAGAACTAATAAAAGACATGCTTCCTAATGATAATGAACTTCCAAATTCAACTTATGAAGCAAAGAAGTTGTTGTGCCCGTTGGGTATGGAAATTGAGAGGATACATGCATGTCCAAATGATTGTATATTGTATTGTAAAGAATACAAAACTTGCATGTATGTCCAAAGTGTGGGTCATCGCGTTACAAAAGGAAAAATGTTGGTGATGAACCAAAGAATAAGAAAGGTCCACCAGCCAAAGTGTTATGGTATTTACCTATAATACCAAGATTTAAACGCATGTTTGCTAATCCAATGGATGCAAAAAATTTGCAATGGCATGCTATTGGGAGAAAAGGCGATGGAAAACTAAGATACCCAACTGATTCACCACAATGGAGGAATATTGATAGGAGGTGGCCTGAATTCGGTACTGAAAACAGGAGTCTTAGACTTGGATTGTGTATGAAGCGAAAATAAATCATGTTATCGTTGTTAATATCAGGGCCTAAACAACCAGGAAATGACATAGATGTATATCTAGCGCCACTTATTGAAGATTTAAAAATGTTGTGGAATGAAGGTGTGTCAGTGTATGATGCTTATACTCGAGAAAGTTTTACCTTACGTGCAATGATCTTTTGCACCATAAATGATTTTCCAGCCTAGGGTAACCTATCAGATTATACTAATAAAGGAGCTAAGGCATGTCCTATTTGTGAAGATGAAACAGCCAATCTATGGTTGAATAACAGTAAAAAGAATGTGTTCATGAGTTATAGGACATTTCTTCCAATTGAGCATCCTTATCGAAAGAAGAAAAAAACTTTCAATGGAAAATCAGAGACTGGAGTAGCTCGTTTGCCTTTATCTGGTTTAGCGATTTATGACCGTGTTAAAAATGTTAATGTTACTTTCGGCAAAACGTGTAAGACCACTCAGAAGACTCTATGGAAGAAGAGGTCTATATTTTGGGATCTACCATACTGGAAGCATTTAGCTGTTAGACATTGTTTTGATGTAATGCATATTGAGAAGAATGTTTGTGACAGCATTATTGGAACACTGTTGAACATTCAGGGAAAGACAAAAGATGGTATTAAAGCTAGAAAGGATATGGTTGAAATGGGAATACGGGAGAAGTTAACACCAGAAGAATCAGGAAAACGGACATACTTACCTCCAGCTTATCATACTTTGTCCAAAAAAGAGAAAACAAGTTTTTGTGCTTGTTTAAATGGTGTCAAGGTCCCTTCCGGTTATTCATCGAATATTAAAAAACTTGTGTAAATGAAGGACCTTAAATTGGTTGGCATGAAGTCTCATGATTGTCATGTATTAATGCAGCAAATGTTACCTATTGCTATTCGAGATGTTTTACCCAAACATGTTAGGGTAGCTATAACAAAACTTTGTTTCTTTTTCAATGCTATTTGTAGTAAAGTTGTTGATGTAGATGTGTTAGATGCTTTGTAGGCTGAAGTGGTTGTTACTTTGTGTCAACTTGAAATGTATTTTCCCCCATCCTTTTTTGATATAATGGTGCACTTGATTGTTCACTTGGTAAGGGAAATAAAGATGACTGGTCCGGTTTTTATGAGATATATGTATCCGTTTGAAAGATACATGGTAATATTGAAAGGATATGTGAGGAATAGATATCGACCTGAAGGAAGTATAATTGAAGGTTATGGTTTTGAAGAGGCAGTTGAGTTTTGTACTGATTATTTAGCTAATGTTGAGTCTATTGGTAATCCCAAGCCTATTCATGAAGGAAGACTCAGTGGGAAAGGTACTATTGGATTTAAACACTTTGTTCCACCTACTAATTTACGAGATAAGGCACATCATCTCGTATTGGAACACCTTACTGAGGTTCATCCGTACTTGGAGCAACACATGTCTGTGATAAGATAACAAAATCCTTCGAAGGGTGAAAGATGGGTGGCTATTGAACACAATCGCACTTTCATAAGATGGTTCAATGATATTGTGATGAAAGAGCTATCTCAAGTGCCAAATAATGTCAGTGAAACCATCAAATGGTTATCATATGGGCCTAAATTACTTGTGAATTGTTATGAAGGTTATGACATAAATGGATATACATTTTACACCAAGCGACAAGATGAAAAGAGTGTGGTGCAAAATAGTGGGGTTACATTAGTAGCAACATCAAAAGATTATTCAAGTGCTAAAGATACTAAACCGATGGATGCTGTTATGCCTTACTATGGTGTGATTGAAGAGATTTGGGAACTTGATTACAATGTATTTCAAATTCCTCTATTCCGTTGTAATTGGGTTGATAATAGAAGGGGCATTCTGATAGATGAATTGGGTTTTACTTTGGTTGATTTTGGTCGGTTAGGTTATCATGATGAACCATTCATACTTGCATCTCAAGCAAAACAGGTGTTTTATGTTTCTGATCCTGTGGATAAAAAGTGGTCAATTGTTTTACAAGGCAAGAGAAGTATTGTTGGTGTTGAAGATGTTGTTGATGAAGAAGAGTATGATCATTTTGATGAAACTCCTCCATTTTCAATTGGTATTCACTCTTTATCTGTAGAGGATGATAACCTTGAAATTAGTTACATGCGTAGTGATCATGAAGAAGGATTGTGGGTTGACCATCGGCCATCATAGTATTTTGCTGTAAGATTTATGAATTGTTGACAATATCTTTTGTTTTGTATTTTATTAGACTTGAAATACAATATAACATGTTTATTGATATATATTTTTGCATGTCCAGGTATATATAGACAACCATGACTGATCATACTAGAGAAACCTCTAGTCCAACCCCTAAAGAAACTTGTACTGTACCTAAAAGAAGAGGTCCCAATTCATGTAGAATCTTGAAAAAGAAAAAGGGAAAAGGTGAAATATCAGTTCAGTTTGATGAGTTTAATAGGCCAGTTGGCGAGTATAAAAAGAAATTTGTCTCTTATATTGGGGCTTTGGTTCGCGATAGAGTAAATATCAATAGCGGCACTTGGCCCGACGTAGATGCAACAATTAAAAATTCAATTTGGACAGATGTTAAGGTATCCAATAACTTTATATTAATTGTCAATTATTGATATACGTTATTGTTATTGCTTATGTTTATGTTGTTGTTATTCAGGCACAATTTGGTCTTCAAGATGATGCACAGAAATTTTTTGTATTGAAAATTACATCAAAGAGATGGAGAGACTTCAAGAGTAGATTGAAGCATGAACATATTGTCAATAAGCACCCAAAGTATGAGTCTCCCGTACAACTCTATGATTTCTTGAGTGAAGAGAGTTGGTTGGAATTTGTTGCAAATCGCGAGAGTGAGGAATTCAATGTATGTTTATTTCATTTTATTATTATAAGTAGTTTAAGTGTTTTAGTTCAATTTTTTTATTCATATTAACTTATCGTTGAAATTATAGGAGAAAAGTGAAAAGGCAAAGCAAAGGCAGGCATGCAATGTGCATCCACACTTCCTACTTATATACGACCTCCAATTGTTGGTGAAAATGTGTTTTTGCTTTTGGGGACATATTGCAAGGACCTTGTCAGAGCGTTGTCATCATTTTCTGTTAAGAAAGAGTACATTGATGTGGAATTGGATTCTGCTGTTTTCCATCATGCAAACGTGAATGCTGTTTATGTGATGATATGTGATATACATGATTTGTTGACATTGGCTTGCCTCGATGTCTCAATTATACAAGTGTTTATGATGTAAGTTTTAAATTGTTCATGTGTTTTAAATACATTTGTTTTTGTAAGTTTATTGAAATTTCTTAGTTGTTATTTTTCAGGTTTTTGAATAAGCGGGGTAAGCAGCTTGGAGTGACATCTATCGGGTTTGCATGTCCAACACAAATTTCAGCAGATATGGGTCACTTAAATTCCTCTTCTGTTACATCAAATTTCATTAAGGTCATGGAGGAACACAATGATCAGCATTTCATTTTGGCACCATATCATGAAAAGTAAGTATTTTACTTAACTAATTTATATAACTTAATAACTTTATTTGAACTGTTTGATATTAGAATTTTAATATATATATATATATATATATATATATATATATATATTTATTTATTTATTTATGTTTTGTAAATGTAGTAATCATTGGATATTGCTTGTGATTTGCGCATCTTCAAAAACAGTGTATGTGTTTGATCCTTTGAAAAATGCAAGACACTTTGAAGTCAAAATTTATTTGAATATGTAAGTCAAATCTTAGCACAAATACTATGTATATATTTTAAATGATATTATATGTTATTTATACATCGATATAAATGTTTATTACTAATATAGGGAATTTCGATCTCTTTCTACAATTGGAGGAAGAACTAAAGCGATTGATTGGAAGCAATGCAAAGTATGAAGTTAAAGTTAAAGTTTTAATATGATATTAACCTTTGTTTTTATTTATTAATATGATATTAACCTTTGTTTGTATTTTGTAGTGTCCACAACAGCCGGGAGGCACTGAATGTGGATATTATGTACTAAGATACATGTTAGAGATCGTTACTAAGTATTCAAAGGTTGATTGTCTACATGGGGTAAGTAATTTAAATACAACTATATTTATATTTGAATTATAATTTATTAATTAATATGTTTACTAATTTGAATAATTAAAATTATTATGTAGATATTTGATAATGAAGCACCCTACTCCTTGAACGACATAGATGAAGTTCGAGAGTTGTGGGCAGAATATTTTCTAGAAGAGTGCGTGTAAATTTATTTAGTTTAAACATTAACTTATGCTTAGTTTATGTTTGAATGTAGTGTTGATTGTTATTATATATTGTGTTGATATTATAAGTGTATTGTGGTATTTTATTGTGTTGATATTATAAGTGTATTGTGGTATTTTATTGTGTTATTATTACTCGTGAGTTATATATATTGTTGTGTTTGGGTTTGTAGTTATTAGTGATAATTAGTTGATTTTAATTTAATTATTGTTGAATATATATAGATAGTTTACTTAATTGTTATATTTTTTGGATAAATTTTTGTGTGCATTTGGTGAATTTTTAATTTGGAAAATTATGTACAGGTTGAATCAATAAAATTAGGTAATATTCAATTTTTAAATAAAATATTAAAAAAAATATAAAACCGCGTCACCCTCTCGGAGTAGGGTGACGCGGAAAGTAATAAAAAAAAATAAATAAAAACTTTCCGCGGCACCCATCATGTCAGAGGTGCCGCGGAAAAGTAGTATTATTATAATAATAAATGAGAATCCGAGGCACCTGCAGCGGAGCAGGTGCCTCGGATATTCTGTATTAAAAAATTAAAAAAAAACATCCTCCGCTTTTCGAGTCACCCTTTACGGGTGACTCGGAAAGCGGAGGACTTTCACAGTCTCCAAAATCCGAGTCACCTGTACAGGTGACTCAAAAGTGTTTTATGGGAGACTCTAAAAGCTTTTTTTGTACTAGTGATAATTCTTTTGGATCAAGGGTCATACAATATATATATATATATATATATATATATATATATATATATATATATATATATATATATATATATATATATATTGGGCTTAAGGCATTTTGGGGTAACAAGATACATAATAGTTTATTTATAAAATAAATAAACCAAAGCCCATTTTGGAAATAACTAGAGATATAAATATTTTTAATAAAAATATTTAATATCGGTACTATAGTTTATTTTAGGAAAATACGGTGTGTCACAATCAATCTCACATATGGTCATCCAGTGATAGCATTAACGCGTTGGAGTGGGTTACTAGCATCATTCACTGACGGTTGTTATACCGAATGTTTTTCAGGTGATGAGCATTAGCTTCGGAGCGCGCTAGTCAGAGCCTTGGACTTAGCTTAGTTAGTCTTAGCACAGTAGTTGCCCTGCGTGCCTTGGGATTGTATTGAATATCGATGGAGGATTTCTCATGCTTGGTTAGTTTAGCTTGTACACCTAGGTTCTCAAACCTAGGTGTGGCATATCATCCCGACACTTACGGATAGCTGTATGCCCTGTTTGGGATTTAATCAATGGATTCGCCTTTATTTTATAATTTTAAATATCTCAAAATATATGGGTGTTGCAATTGGTATCAGAGCCTAAGTCCGACCCTAGGACAATGTCTTTAGGATAAGACTTTGGGACATTAAGCTTGAACTCTAAATACCTACATACTTGGGATGTTAAGAGTTAGACTCTAAGAATCTAAGCTGCATCTAGGATAGTACTCTAAGTTTGATACCTTAAGATGCTAAGTCGTAACTCTAAGTGTTTAAAGACTTAGGACTTAGGAGTCTTAGGACGCGCGGTGAGGCTGTGAGTTTATCTATCATTGTCTGCCTAACTTCTCCTCACTCTATCATGTGCTTAGCTTAAAGATTCCCTATATTTATAGCATCAAGGTAAGGATGCGAACCCCTAATTTACTATTACAATCGACATTGGCCCTGTAGAACACCAGAATGGCGCCAACAAGAAGTCAGTCAAGGACCCCTGAACCCTCCGCCCACGAATCACTAGTTCAGAACCTACAACAACTGACTCAGGTGCCCAACCACTAAGCAACGCTATCCTCCATAACAATAACCGACCACCACCACCACCAAACGGAAACTCAGATGTAGCTCGCCAAGTCTTGAACCATCGCCTGCCTATCTTCTCAGGAGAAGAAGAACCCACAATCCTCGAAGAAAGGATCTAAACCTTCGACAAGATCTTCGAGGTAGTAGAATGCCCGGAGGGACGCCGTGTAGAAATAGCCTCATTCTACTTCGGACACGAAGCCGATCTTTGGTGGGTCCACGAAGGACCTTCTTGTAGGCAAGAACCGGGGTTCAACTGGGAGTCCCTAAAAGTACGACTACGGGGACGGTTCTACCCTGCGCACATATTACTTCAGATGAGAAGACTAGGGCAAATCTCGACAATGTTGCACGAGACATTCTCTATATGTCTCAAGATGATTCGCTATTTCCGAGAGTACGCAAATGCACCACAGCAAAATAAATCTGGGATACTCTTATGAGTCTAGGTGAAGGAGATGAACAAGAGAAGGATAACAAGCTTACCGTAGCCATGAAGAAGTTTGAAGACTTCAAAATGATGCCAAATGAAGCAGATTCAATCCTCACTCTTCTTGCTGCTTCTTCGCCTTTCTCAGCTGCCGTGTCAATAAATTTGTTAATTTGATTCCTTGAGCTCAGGATGTTTCCTGCTACCACCGGATGACCATATGTGAGATTGATTCTAAAACTGTGGTAGTTATCGAAAGCATCAAGGGTATTTTCTCCTTCGATTAACCCGCATCTCTACCATCTAATGCACTCAGCGGTGGTCATCCCATCTGCAAGGGAGATTCCATTGTCTTTCGTAATATTGAATAATATGCCCTTACGCCTTTCATCCGAGTCGTTCCAGATACTCTTTCGGTAGGATTAAAATTTTCTCTTCGGTTTGTAACACGTGTCTCTCATATAATTAATTGGGGATAAATTGATCATTATTAATAAATACAAAATACAGTGACACTAAGTATGTGTTAAGTCATTTAATTTTGTGTAGCATTTTACATATGAATACTTGGCATTTCATAACCATTTAATTTTTACCAATTTTAGCTGAAAAAGTGACTAAATATAGTAGTGTTCTGAAAATTAGAAATCAAACTCTTATTAGCTTAGTTAGTTAGAGCGTTGTGCTAATAACGCGAAGGTCACAGGTTTGAGACCAGTATGGGCTAAAATTTTCATCCCCCAACCCTTTGCATGTAATAGCCATTTTTAATTCTGAAATGGTGTTTACAAAATGCACCACGTGAGCTGGTGACTTTGATATGGTAACTTTGAGTTCAAGTGTTCCAACTTTAGTTTGACAAATATTTTATTCTAAGGAATTTGAAGTACTAAAATAAACACAACGCAGCACCAACACTGAAAGTTCTCATTAATAATCTCAAAAAAATTACAATTATATTACAATTCAATGGGTATAAAGCATAAATATATAAACATTACAAAATGTCTTCAATTGTGCAGCTTCAATCCTCGTTCTTCTTGCTGCTTCTTCGCCATTCTCAGCTGCCGTGTCCAAAAATTTGTTAATTTGATTCCTTGAGCTCAGGATGTTTCCTGCTATCACCGGATGACCATATGTTAGATTGATTCGGGGTCTTATTCCCTAGTTTATTTTTGTTAGTAAAACTTGTTTGGTTTAGATGTTTAACCTTTGCCTGTGCAATCACCGTGAAGGGTGATTGTGGCGGTGATACCTCTTATAAGTTTGTTTAGTAAGTTTATCTCGCTTGTTTAATTTATCTTTTAAGGTTAAGTTTGTTAATAATGTTTAAGAAAAATGGGGGTGTTACAAGTCAGGTGTGCCCCAAGACGGTCAAGAGATTGCGGTGTGGCTACTTAAAAGTTTGGGAGGTCTCGGTAGCATGGCTCCGGCCCGCCACCTGTCTAGCTCGCCAGTCGGCCCGGTTGAGTGACCCGACTAGGCAGTCGGAGGGGTCCCGACCGGGTGTCGTACTTAGAGGCGGTGAATGGAGATTCGGCGGAGATTCTTTCCAGTTTTGGGCGCGGGAATTTTTTTTTTTCAATATTAGGAAGTTTACCTAGGAAAATAGAAACTTTCTTAAGACCAATTTTGTTAATTTCTTCTTCCTTTCATTTTTCAAGGTCCAAATCTCTTGTATAAATACCCCCCATGCGGTCACATTGAAGAGCGCAGCAGAGCCCCTATAGGCAGTCATTCAGAGACTTTTAACCTCTAGACGCAAGCGGGAAAATGTTGCCGCTGAGTTAGAATGTTGCGGAGAATCGCTACCAGGCGAGAGTGAGTGCAACCTGGCATGGCCAACTTTGCAGCGGAAATTAAGGATTTGCGATACAAGCTAGAAGGGAGGAAGAAACTGACTGCCAAGACTTTGCTGACTACTTCCCCTTTCTCAGCAGAGATCTTGGCTTATAAGGCCCCGACGGGCTTCAAGCTGCCCGAGCACCCATCCTATGATGGATCTGGTGATCCGCGCGATCACTTGATCAGCTTCTAGGCTAAGATGCAGGTGGTCGGGGCGGAGGAACCGATGATTTGTATGGCGTTCTTTCCTACGCTGACTGGCCCCGTGCAACGTTGGTTCTTGACTTTATCATCCGGGTCTATTACTAGCTTTGAGGATTTGACCAATCGATTATGGGCACATTTTTTTGGTAGCATGAAGCCCAAAAAGTATATCTCGGGCCTAACCTGGGTGCGTCAAGATGAAGGAGAGAGCCTACATAAGTACATAGCGCGTTGGCAGAAGGAGGCCCAGGCGATCGAAGGCTTGGATGACAAGCCTGTCCTGAATTTTTTCTTCGAGTCCTTGCGCGTTGAGGGACACTATAGTAAGCTATGTGACGAGAACCCTCAGACTTACGCCCAAGCCATTCAGAGGGCTAATCAGCTCGTTGATATTAAAGAGGCAGTTAGGAAGAAGATGAAACGGGAAGGCTCTTCATCGAATAAGCACCACCGGCTAGACAATTCTCGTGCTGCCCGGCCGGAAGGGGCTGCTGGCAATTGGACAGATACCCGACGGATACAAGACAGACTGTGTGCCCCCGTTAACAGGCCACCTGCGCAGCCCGTCCATGAGATTTGTAATCAGCTACCACTCCCTCCCTAATCAGGCTCGGAGGCAACCCGCAGGTCGTTGACCCGAACACGACTCCTTATTATCGGTATCACCGCACGAATACCCATATGACGGAAGAGTGCGATGGGCTTAGATAAGAAATTGAGGCAATCATTCAGCGTGGTCGCTCAGTACCTCCTAACCAGTGGCATTGATAAGTGCCAAAGACATTCACTTCTTAGGGTCATTTTGGGGTTGTTTTGTGCTTAAATGTAATCCTTTGTGGTTGATTTGGGGAGAAATGCGTTAAAATGAGCTAATGTGTTACAAAGACATATCATATTTTGCACTTTAGTGTTTTTGAAGGACTTTTGAGCTAAAAGGATGGCATATGGGTTTGAACCAGAGTGACTAAAGAAGAGTGCAAGAGGAGGAATCTTTGCAAAGCCCAGTAACGATCGTGACAGGGTCGTGACAAAGAATTAGACCCTGTCACGAGGATCCCCACGATCGTGACCAGGGCACTAGGCAGTTTTAATGACTCGGTCATGATTGTGACAGATGCACTAAGCGCGATTTTGGCAGAAGCCTGGGAGATTTTGCTATAAAAAGGCTAGAATTAGAATGTTTAGGAGGTTAGATCATTTTCTAGTGTTTAGATTTCATTTTACATCTCTCTAGCCTCTCAAGAACATTTATATTGAAGACCATTCTAGGTTGAATGAATCTTGAAGCATTTGTAGATTGAATCATCTTTTGAGTTAAAGTTTGGTAATCTTCTCCTTTTTCTAATCTCAATTTCAATCTTGCATTAATTCAATGTTGATTCAATTGACTACAATGAGTGGGTAGGTTTTCCTTAGGGATTGAATTGTGAATCCATTGCATGATGCTAGTGTGGAATTGAATGTTTGATTTGGATTTGTGAATTGCAATTGTTGTTTGATTTCTTGTTGGAAGTGGATGTTTGTATTGAATCTTGTGAGTTAGGGCCCAACTCTATGGATGATCTATGATCATTTGACCTAGACAAGAGATTGCTAGGTTGTTTGTAGCCTCCTTTCCACTTGCTTTTCCCGACTTAGTTTCGAGAGGGCATAGTCCCGAATGAGGTGAAGATAAGATGTTTGGTAATTTGTCTCATAGGGATATGAAGTCACTTGGGTTCTTCCTAGACCTATGATAGGTCGTTAAGACCGAGAGGGCAACGACACTAATATAAACCTCGCTTGGAATCAATTGCAATCTCCAAATCCTACCTTATACACTAGAAGAATAATGCAATGGATGAACAATTATATTTCCAGTCTTTTACCTTTGATTCTTTACTTGTGTATGCTTGTGTTGACTTGCTCTCTTGCACATATGTACAACATGCCTTTTGTAAATCTTGTATGTGACAAGCTTAGATCCTTTCTCTAACTCAACACATATAATGTAACACCCCCAACTTAAAAAGCCAAATAAAAAGATTCTTTACTAAAATATTTAATACAAGTGCGGAAGCGAATTCAAAATCTTAACCAATGGGGTGTCATGCTGTGCTCGGGCCAACGTCTTCATCACTCAAGTTCACACTTTGGCCTCCCGCCGGTATTTCATGACGTTCTTCTTGTTCCCTTGGTACCTTAACCACTTGCCTTTCTCCTTTGATTACTTGCTTCTCCTTCTTATCTTCTCCTTTTGGATGATGTGGCCCTAGTTCTCCTCATTTTTCCTTCACAACAAGATTTTCAAGAACAATACAGAATAGCAACTTTCTTGGGTCCACTCATGTTAGTCAAGAGAAACAAGTCTGTGTATCCCATCATTTTTCCACAAGTGTCAAGTGTTGGTGGTGAAATCAAAAGGCATTATTCTCACAAATTTTCAACAAGATGAGTTATGCAATCCACATTTTCCTTATTTCGATTAACAACAAGCATACAACAATTCAAGTACCCAACTTTACAACATTCTTTTTTTTTTTTTTTCAAGTTCAAGATCAACAAAGAATTATACACAATTAGCAACAAATGTATTTCGCAAGGCTAAAATCAACAATGTATGAACAATAATTATGTACTAGCAACATATGAACAAAGAGCAAACTAAATAGAGGCACAAAATTCCTACAATCTCCATTCTAGAATTTTCAGAAACACCTAATGTGCATACTTACAACAAGAGAAATTCAACAAATGTATTTCGCAATGCTAAAATCAACAATGTATGAACAATAATTATGTACTAGCAACATATGAACAAAGAGCAAACTAAATAGAGGCACAAAATTCCTACAATCTTCATTCTAGCATTTTCATAAACACCTAATGTGCATACTTACAACAAGAGAAATTCAACTAAAATTTTCAATGCAATTCAACTCTCATGTACAATTAACATCAAGAAGCACAAATATAAAGATTCCCATCACCAATTTTGTCAAATATGAGCACAAGTTCATAACCCTAAAGATTGAGCAAAAATTCCCAAATTGAAATAACAATGAATTTCTTACCTTGAAGTGATGATTTGGAAAGATTAAAGCTTGATTTTTTTATGTTTGGATGGTGCACGACAAGTATTGAAAGTTTGGGAGAGAGTTAGAAGTAAAATGGAATAGCTTGGAATGGATTTTGGGCAAAAACATAGTTTGCCCACGATATTTAAAGCAGTTGGGCGGCGTACGGGCGTGCGCAGTGGCGTACGTCCCTCAGTTTGCACAATTTTTCTACACTTTTTTTTTTTGAAATTGAACTCCCATGTGAAATTGTAGGCTCCTTAGTGACTTTCTCTACAATGTTAGCTCAAATACACACATACAAAAATACCAAAACAAATATAAAAGAAAAAAAATAATACAAAATTTTTCCTTGGGTTGCCACCCAAGATGCACCACGTTTTACGTCCTTGGCTAGACACAACGCTCTTCATTTATCAAAGCACACAAGGATTGAGACCTTGCCATGCGTCCCGCCCACTTTTCCTTTGAAATATGCCCCCAAATGTCGGGCATTCTCAAATTCATCAATAAGAACCGAGTGTAAAATTTGTTTCAAAGTTAAACAAGGGATTACATAAAGAATTAAGCTCATTCCCTCAAGGTTGCTTTGCACTTCCTTTTTCATCTCACTCTCTTCTCTTCCACTGTTATGGTTTTTTTATTTTTTTTATTTTTTTATTTTTTTTATCATACAAAGCACTCTTATCAACCAACACCCAATTGTTTTCAATATTTTCTTCCGACTCTTCTTTTTCATTTTCATAATTGATAACCACTCCACCCTAAATATGAATATCGTTCTCAAAGATCTGCTTATTATCCCCTTCATCACGCCCAAAAAATCTCCTCATCCCCCAACCAAAATCCTCACAATCATGGAACTCATCACAAGAATAAAAGGAAGGCTAAAGTGTCATCCCGCACCATGAACCATTCCTAATTATTCATACCGCACCATAATCTTTAATAAGTGATATTTTGAGCCATAAACCATTTTTTTCCCGCCTAGCCTTTTTTTTATAGGTTTTCCAGTAAACACTATGACATGGTGCATGTTGCTTGTTGATTTCGACTTATTTGTTAGTGACGTGGCCTTAATTAAATGAGATGGAGTCTTTTTAGTGACGTGACTATAATTCCCCTAATTCTACTATCTGAAATCGGCGACTTCACCCGACCCAAATCCTACTGTTCGAATTCGAATCCCTCCGCTAATCGGCGACTTCACTGAAATTGGTAAAACCATTGTAGGAGGAAAATTATATAAATAATTTTATTTTGAAATTTGATAAAATATGAGTTTTGGAGGAAAATATTTTGGGGTCTCACAACAACAACCGTGAGGCTCTGAATGTGGATACTACATACTGCGATACATGTTCGATATTGTTATTAAGCATAGGTAAGTAATTTAAATACAACTATATGTATACTTAAATTATAATTTATCAATTAACATGTTTACTAATTTGATTAATTAAATTTTTTTTTAGGTATTTGAAGAAGAGCCTACTTCATGAACGAAATTGATGAAGTTCGAGAGTTGTGGGCACAATACTTTACAAAAAAGTGCGTGTAACTTTATTTGGTTTAAACATTATCTTTATTATTATTAACTTATGTTTATGTTTTGTTAAAGAATTGTATATCTTGATTTCAATTTTAAATATGTTGATTGTTATTATTGTGTTGATAGTATAAGTATATTGTGGTGATTTATTGGGTTGATTATTAATTGTGAAGTATATATAGTTATGTTTGTGTTCATAGTTATTAGTGTTGATTTGAAAATCATTGTGAATAGATAGTTTAAGAGTTAATTCCTAAAATGGTCCTCCGACTATAAAATTTTCTCAAATTGAATCATTGACTTTTAATTACACCCAAAGTGATCCTTCGACTATTAAATTTTAAGTCAAAATGATTTTCCGTTAATTTTGACATTAACCTGCTATTAAAAAAAGGGCAAAACCCCTTTCACAAGCCCTTTTTTTTTTTTTTTTTCTGACGTTTCAAGTGTTTTTTGGCAGTGCATTCCTCGGCAGCTTTCAATCTTTCTTCTCTTCTCATGTTGAATTCTGCCATTTCTTTGCAAAACCGAAACTTCTAGACCAACCTCAGCCAGACTCAAGAGTTGCCCACTGCCTTGAATAGTCCAACAAAATCCCATCGAACTCCCTAAATACATAAACCACCTCACAATCGAAACCATCGTCCAGGAAATCAAACGGAAACTGGAGTGAAAAATTGAAAGATATGAGACAAGAATTCATTCATACACCATCATGGACTTGCAGAGATCCGCATCGCTCATCAGGTTGCGCAAATGAGTACTGTCGATCTCGTCAATATGGCCCTGCATTATTCAACGTCAACAATTTCACATCGCACGCAACAGCCAACCGCAGCAGCAGTTCAGGAAAAATAATTTTAAATATAAAATAAATATAGCGAAAAATTACATACTTTCAGGTCCTTCCATGGATGCGATTCACGGATTAGAGTAGAGGACGCCATTTGCAGCTATTTCAAAATGAAGGCGTCGGAGAAGAGATATGATCGAACAATACTTGGGTCAAGTTTGTTTTTTTTTTTATTTTTTTTTTATGGGATGGTCAAAGGTCTAAACCATAAACAATATAAATTGTCTGTTTTGCCCTTCTTTTTAACAACAGGTTAAAGCCAAAACTAACAGATGATCATTTTGACTTAAAATTCAATAGTCAGAGGATTACTTTGGGTGTAATTAAAAGTTAAGGAACCAATTTGAGAAAAGGCCATAATTAAAGAACTATTTTGAAAATTAACTCATAGTTTAATTTGTTGTTATTAGTTTTGTAATTTTTTGTGTGCATTTGGTGGTTTTAAAAAATTCTGCAGTACAAGTTTTGAATAAATAAAATTAAGTAGTTTTTAAAATTTAAATAAAATATTTTTTAAAAATTTTCGCGACACCCACTGTGGAGAGGGTGTCGCGGAAAGCCGTTATAAAAAAATGGGTTTTCGCGACACCCTCCTTTCAGTGGGTGTCGCGGAAATCAATGATTAAAAGAAATACTTGCTGCGACACCCATTGCGTATAGGTGTCGCAGAAAGCCAAGCACTTTCACAGACACCGGAATCTGCTACACATGTACAGGTGTAGCGGAAACACTTTTATAGGTGTAGTGGATGTGCTTCTTTGTACTAGTGTGTTTTGCTCGAGGTACTTTTGGTTCAATCATTATTGTTGAATGAGTTCTCGTGGATAAAGAAATAGGTGTAGTGGATGTGCTTCTTTGTACTAGTGTGTTTTGCTCGAGGTACTTTTGATTCAATCATTATTGTTGAATGAGTTCTTGTGGATAAAGAAATTCCTAATTTAGATAAGGTAGTAAAAGTTTATACATTTTAATATAGAAATAATGTTGTTGACTCTATTACATTGCAGTATCTGTTCAAACATACTTTCTCAACCTAATGAAGCACAAAGAGTCACTTTCTCAACCTAATGAAACACAAAGAGTCAACACACCTCCACTAAGGTCACTACACGCCATCTGAGCACAAGGTGCTTGGCATAACTTTGATATTTAATTACAAGATAGTGTAAAAAGAAGACAATGGACAATGTAGTAAATATACTTAATTAATGAATTTGAACGTAAGAAATCTTTGCATTTGTAGAAAATAAAAACAATATAACTAATGAAATTATCTCTCTTTTTAAATTTTTTGGTAATGAATATATTATTATTTTTGAATAAATGCATCGCAGACATATGATTCTAAATTAAAGAAATGCATATGTATTGTTTTCTGTTGTAGCTAATAATTTATTTAATTTATTACTGGGATGAGGTTCGAACCTAAGACCTTCCTTATGAAAAATCAATAAGTTAAAAATAATAAATAGTTAACGGAATATTCCGTTACTAAAATTTATATTAACAGAATGTGTGGATATTTAATAGAAGAATATAATATAATAGAGGGTAAAGTAAGAAAATAAACAAAGAGTTAATACTCATTTTGGTCATCCGACTATTACGTAATACTTGATTTAGTCTCAAATTATCAAAAGTACCCAATTTAGTCCTCTAACTTTTAAAACGGTACCTAAGTTGGTCCTCCCTTACAATTGTCATCTATCAGCCGCTATTTTGAGGGATAAAAACGTCCTTTTGATATTATTGATACACTGATAGTCTGGTACGCATATATACGACTTAGTGTATCTATAGTCTACGCCTCGGTGTATTCTGTACGGTTTCGAGTAATCGGAGATGGAGCCGTCGGTCCGGTGAAGTCACGCGGAGCATTTCTTCACTCAGATCTGGTAGTCTCCATTATTTCTATTCAACGCAACTCAAATTCTTTAGAGCTTGTGGATTTTGTTGCTGTTTTTTTTTTTTTTTAAGTTTCTTCGAGATTGCATTTTTGTTTTTAAATTTGTTGCGATTTGCATTTTTGAGCTATGAATGTAAGTATTTTCCCTAAATACAATATATTATAATATATTGTATTATTGGGTGGTTGTGGTGCAAGTAGGAGATTGAGTCAATTAGTGACTTAATCTGTTATGCAACTCAGGATATTCAGTTAAGCTTTAACTGAATATCTGCCTATGTTGATGGCATGTAGGCTTCTAAGCAAAATAGTCCTCCCACAGCTCCCGAGTTTAGGACACGCACCATCACGTATTCGGGAGAGAAGTGGTAGACAAAACACTAATGTCCATTTTGCAGGTTTACCATCCCAGAGACAATACCAACAACTATGGCTGGGGATATTCGGGCGATCCTAAAGCTTCTGCTGCAACGAGGCAGGTTACTCGTTTACTACAATTCATGTTAGTCTAAATTTATTATCTAACATTTGGTATCAGAGCCCTATTAATCTCTGCCTAGTTGATTAATCAGTAACGAATATATATTTTGAAAATATATTTGTTTTTTTTTTTTGTTTTCTGGAAAACAACAAAGTTTTTTTTTCCATGCTTGCCTAAGCATATTACAGTACATATTTTTGGGAGATTTGAACCGCTGGTTTTTTTTTTTGTTGTTTTTGGCGAGGCAGCACCGTGGTCTCCGCGTTTTTTAGTTGCGGCGTCGACGGACCATCGATGTAGAGAGACGGCGCGATGGCGAAGGCGGCACGGCACGGATTTCCGGCGTAAGGCTGTCGTTTTTCCGATCTCCGCTGTGAGCTTCGCCGCTGGATGAACGGCGCCATGGGGCGTTGTGGTTCTGGCTGGTGATGGAGGGAGGCACTGGCTGCCATGGTGGCGTCATCCATGGATGCATCCCGGTCTAGCCGTTGCTTTTTATTCTTCATCGGTGCTGCAGTAGAGAAGCCTTCATCCTCGCCACTACAAATTCAGGGCGTTGCCGGACTAGCATTGCGACGTGGTGGTCCAGCGGAGGCGGGCTTGGCTTCCCGGCAAAACCGTTGCTATATCGCTTCCCCTTAAAGCGGCACTACTACCTTGGTGTCGTCTTTCTCTCCCTGGTACGCCTGGTTCGTAGGAAGAAGAAGACTCCTGGTACGGCCTGTTTAATTCAAAAGCAATTTCCTTCTTTTTATTTACCATATATTTATTTGCCTTATTTAGTTTTATACATATTAATTTTGGCATGGTAATATATTAGGATTAATATTATCATATTAATTTGACCTTAATTAATATTGTATATTATTTTGGCAAATGGTAAATATTTAGTAATTGCTTGTTTTTTTTTTGAAATAATAATGCCTTTTAGTTTTTATTTTCTTAAATGTTGGCATTAAAAATTTCAAATTGAAATTAATTATGGCATTATTTGTGATTAAATTATTGCCATTATTAATACAATTATAGTAATTCTTGAATTCTTGTCATAATTAAATTATTATTCATTTTGAGCAAAATATTAAGTTTTAATTTGCTATTTGAATTTTAATTTAATATTGAGAATTGTATTAATGCCTTTTAAGTTTTCTCTCAATTTTGGCATTATATTCACAATTAAATTATTATTCAATTTTGAACAAATATTAAGTATTAAATTTGCTACTTGAATCTTAATTTAATATTGATGTGCATATTAAAATTGCTTGAATTATTGTAATTTATTTAGTATTTATGAGTTAATAATATATTAATTTGCAAAATCCAAACATGCTTTGTATATTTTTTAAATTATTTTATTATAATTGTACATTTAGAAAAGCATTTATTAAAGTTGGATATAGCATATTATTAACTCATAGATTTTATATTAAATATCATTCAATTTTGGATCCTTAGGCTAATTTTGGACAATATAGCCTATTAAGTTAGTTTGTTGGTTTCTCATTTAATTTTGAGCATATTTTAGTCCTAATTTTCACTTGAGACTTTAAAACCTATTTTGAACAAGCTATTTAGGACCTATCTTGGTCAGTATGGATCCTACTATTATTTGATTGATATTTTAATAATAATTGTAGCACATTCTTTTTATTTTGATTATAACATGTTTATTTAGTTTCAGTTATTACTAACTACCGTATTTTGTTAACGGTATTTATCGTTGGTGATAATATAATGTTTGGATCTATTTCCATATTAGAGCATTTATCATTCATGTTATAATTAACTTGGGACATTAAGGTTTATGGGCCTGACTTAAACAATTTTGTTCTATAATTATTATCATTGTCTGATTTTGAGTCATTAAGTATCTAAGGATTACAATTACCATTTGAAGTCATTAAGACTTATAATTATTGTTTTGGCCATTAAGAATTATAACTATTATTTAAGTTAATTATGTTTTTAATCTATTAATAGTTTTCAGGGCCTTAACCATAATATTCTGTTTTCTTAATGGTAAGCAATGTACATAGTTATGTTGCCTTTACATTATAGGTAATTTGGTTATACCTTAATTTTAGTCTCCGACTCATTACAGTCTTGATTAATTATTATGTGGTAAATTGAGATTAGTATTTAGCATCCCTTAATTACTGTTTTACATTTATTGTAATTATTATTAATTTACATTATTAATTAATGTTATTAAATTTAGGGGCTAATCTCATTTGTTATCTTTCATAACAATTACTCATTCATGGTAATCTACTATATTTGGTACATTGGTAAGATTACTCATGTCACTTCATTTTTCCATTATTATTAATAATGGTAATTAAGTGTTACCAATAAACTGTTACGTACCATTGAGCGATTCAACTAAACTCTCCGTGAAGATGGGAGATTTTTGGAGGCTTTCTTCACTATCGCTGTTAGTGCTATCGATAGGTGCAGTTTGCATCATTAAGGTACGCAAATCATTAATTACAATTTCTTATTATTGGTAACTACTGTTATAGCTGTTAACCATTTTGAACTAGTCACATTTTATCCTTAAGAATATGGAAACATTAAGATATGTATGACCATGTTTGTCATTATAAATGTTAACAGTGATCATAATGCTCCTTATTACTGTTAATATTTTAATTAATGATAACATTATTTTTATGTTATTAAGTCATGAATTGTTTCCAAATAGATTTATGTGGCATTTATTTTTCGGACTTAAGTTGTATTAAATTTTGAAGTTA